AAAAATTGAATTATTTCTTAGTAATCTTCTGATTGTCGATATCTTTATATTCTCATTATCTTTATAAATAAGTATGAAATAAAATCAAAAAATAAAATTTGAAGTAATATTCAGAATTAAATTTGAGATTTTATTTTTTTTTCTCATCTTTGAAATTTAATTTTCGAAAATTGTTTTATTTTAATTCGATTATCGGATTATAAATTATAATCCGACATATAATTATTCTATTTCTTGTTGTTGTTTTGACATTTTCACGAAGAAAAAATCGATTGCAAACTCGTGCGAACAATCCGTACTTGAATAAGGAAACACTAAGAATATGTATATAGAATGTGAGGTTAGACAATCGCTCACGAAAACGATTTTTACGAAGCTTCGAGACGAGTTCTGGAAAGGATCTTGGCGCCTTAAAAAAAGTAGGTTCGTTAAGTTTCTTGTCTCGATCCCACCCGCACATCAGACATAAAAAGGATATCTCTTTTTCTTTTATCCTATCTTTATTCTTTGCTTCTCTCTCTCTCTCTCTCTCTCTCTCTCTCTTCTCGCTTTTTTCTTTTTTCTTCCTTCTGGCACTGTCGTTCATTCGCTAGAAACGGGAAACGCCTAAATTATCGATCGAATTACGTAACTGCAAGCGGGGGCCAGTAATCTCGTTTTTATAACGAACTTCGTCGCGCAAGCGAAATGTCCCTGGGATCGTTATAGACGTTATGAATTATGGCTTTTCTGGACGCTCGAGAGCGCGGCTTTTAGCACGGAGTGTTGATGTCGATATTGAGTACCGACAAGCAATTACAATCGGTAATTACAGTGATGATATCATAGATCTTGACTTATGAGAATTAGTATTTAGAAAATAGTATGCTAAATTTTTTCTATTTTACTATTAGTTAAAAATAAATTTTTTACTGCGAATTCACAGAGTTTACATATTGAGTTTACATATCTGTTTTAGTCGCGCTCTTGCATAGTTTTCTTTTTTATTAAATATTATTACTTTTTTTTTCTAATATATCGTTTCATAGCAGTCACTTCACATTTCACAATCAAAAATTTTGCAGCAGAGAATGACATATTTGTGTTATATTTTTTTATATTCCGAGATTGTTATTTTTCTTGGAGCATTGATATTAATCGATATTTACAGATTTTGATATCAATGCCTCTATTCTTCGCTCGCCGCGCGGAATTTCCCGTTGCGATAACACATCGTGTTTCGCTTATCTTGCAAGCGCTTTCGAGAACTTTCCGAGCTTTCTAAAACTCACACTTGCTGATTCGCGACGATTGGCATAATCTTCGAAAAAGTTGAAAATTCCGAAAAAAGCCGCTCTACGATAAATAATTCCGCTTGACTTTACTCCACACGTTATAAAGTCGATTTTCCGGAATATGCAAAATAATGGAACATTACTTATTCGATGTCTGAGATAGATAATGTAATCTAAAGTATAAAATATGGATAGTATAAAAATATTCTTTCCGTCGACACGAAATAGTTACAGCGATTTTTTTTTATATCAAGATTTCCGATATAAAATGGTAAAAATGTTGTTTTTATGCAAAAGTCGCTTAATTGTAAAAATCGTAAAGATTAAAATTTCAGAGTATCAGCGTGATTTTTCGTAAATACCGATTCGCCTCGCATCGACGTTTGCGCCGCGGGCAATACTCGTCATTACGACCCCGCCCGCCCCCCGTCCATCCTCTCGCGATACGCTTTTATATCGATTCATATAAATAACTGGAATAATGTCCGGTCGAATAAATATTTATTGCACGCCATTACGAATGTAAATTTCCGTCGGTATTCCGCGTTTCGCTGCCGCGTTTCACCGTAAAGCGTCTTGGGATCGATCGCGCGCCTGTCATGCTTCCGCGTTCTCTGTAAAAAAAAAAAAAAGAAAAACAAGAAAGAAGCAACGGGGACAAGAGGGCGACTAGGGAAAGAGACCGACGAGGGAGATCGACAAATTTGACGAAGCACCCCTTTTCCACGTAGGCAGGGGAGAAATCGTTCTCTCCGCCGGTTTCTTCCATTTATATTTCTTTTTTTTTTACTCTTGACGAAAGACGAAGCGCCGTTATGCACGATAAAAAGTTTAATGTCAGAAGACGTCGCGGACGGCGAGAGGGTTGGATGGGCGGATGGGAGGGAGGAAGCCGGTGACGAGGAAAGGGAGGGGGGAGGGGGTGAAAGTGCCCGAGGATCGTAATGACTCGATATGAAACCCGGGCAGTGCAATTTCTTTCTTCTTCTGCCCTTTCTTCCCGCTCCCGCTCGTCTCGACATCTTCCTCTTTTTTCATCGCAGTATTTCCCCATAAAAGCGCCCCGGCATAATAAAAAGCGTTATATAGCTGGCACTGAAAAGTAACGCGTCTCTCTTTTCCTCTCCTGTCCTCCCCCGCGCCCCGCCCCGATCCCCCCCCCTCCTCCCCTCCCCTCGTCCACCCGCGAGACGGTCTTTACGGCCTTATTTGCGGAGACGTAAAAATCGCGAAAATCAATACGAACTTCTAACATTAAATATTCAGGCTATTGACTGGGTGGGGTCGAATCAGACACTAGTCGTTTGTGGTCCCTCCGTGGCCTTCCCCCTTGCCTGAGACGAAAAGAATGAAAAATTAGTGAGAAATTAAGGTTCGATGGATTATGGATAACGAAGAGGACACGGGGGAGGACGACTATAAGGACAGGAGAAAATAAAAGGGTAAAATATGACCGAGCGTGGAAAAAAAATTCATGTGCTAATACGAGTTGAAGATGTTATAATAGAGAAAAACCGCTGTCTGTAGAAAAAAGATCAAATGGAATCGCTAATGTATCTATTGTTATATCGAGATCGTTATCAAGTTGGAAAAAAAGAAGTATTAAGAAATTGAAAAAGATGAAGGGAGAATTTTTCCTCGAGTTAAAAGGAAATTTATAGAGAATATCCCGACTATGATAATATATACGTATATGTTCTCCAAAATTGGCATAGTTGGGAATTTCGCCTCGGCTTAAAAAACTCTTGTGCCGTTATATTTTTCCTCTCTAACGACGATAATGTACTAGCGGGACGTCGCGAAAGAAACTCGCGCAACTGTCCGGAAATTCCCACGACATTCGTTTGCGCACAGGGTTTCGTACCAATTTACCTATTCCCGTTCCGTGTTACACACGGCAATATGCGACGTTGGCCAATTAGCATACAAAAGAGGTGCAATTAATTGAAGGTTGCGACGATAACAACAATAATATACGATTGAGCAAGATCCAATGATTACTTGGAACATATGCGTACGTAACGCAAAAAAATCGATCGATATAAATATGGAAAAATCTTTATACACAATCAATATAGAAGACTTGAATCTGTGAAACGGTCTCGATAAAAAGTTGGATATTCTAGAGAGATAATCCATCCAGCGATCTGAAAAAACAAAATTACGGAAATTATATTATAGGATACTTGGAAAATTAACGTTATGACGCGCCATTCTAGAATCGAAGTATTACAAATCCATCGATCATAAAGACGTACCACTTTGTATAAATTTTCATTAGAGGCGGGGAGGAAAGGTTTTATAAACGATATGCCACGTCGCGAAGGAAGAATTCTTAAAGGAGTATGAGGGCCCTCATTGACTTTCATGCTAGATATTTACGTCGAAAGAAGGCCGGGGGGACGGTCTTGCAAAAATCCCCTGAATGTGCAGACAGGAATTCATATTTTATCGGGTGACGCGCGCTCGATCCATACATTACGTTAGTACGCTCGTTACGCGCGTCAATACGACTTCCCGGATTCCCGGACAATTCCATTTCGCCGGTAATTAATAATGATCGACGCGTCGCGGCCGTCGGCGTCGCCGCCACCGCCGTTGTGCGAGCCTCGGCTTGCGCGCGCGTGTCCTTACTTGCCAAAGCGAATAAATTGGATCGTGTTACGTAACGTGAAACTAAAGTGACGTTTACCGCGAGCTGCAGAAAAAAAGGAAAAAAAAACAGATAGTGTTACATGTTTCTCTGTGCTAATTATAAATTCGACAAATTGCCCGTGATTCCAATTCCTGGTGTCACGTCCAGTGTCAATTAATGCAAATTAATCAGGGAACATTGAAACTGAAGCTTATACAACGACTTTTCTGATTAATAAACGATACCGCAACATTTACGCGTGCTGTGATAACGAAGTCACTTCCGCCGCGCCGGTGAAATTCGACGCAATGCTATACGCGTGGCAATGTTTGCGCCAGCACGGTAATTCAAAGACCTACGAAATGTCGTTTATAGTTTTACATTGTGTAGCACGCTACAATCAATCGTCGACCACTATGATTAAATTTGGATAACGTAACTAGCGGAATCAGTTTGACCTCGGTAAATAAATGGCATAATAATATTGTAGAATGTAGATTGGAAAGTAAATGCATTTTTCATTAACCGCACGGAAAGGAAGGTTTTATTGAAATATCTAAAAATTTAGCTAGATATAGATCTGATAATAATTTTGTTGGACCATCAAAATAATTAGAACGTTGAAACTGGTTAATTGCTAGAATGTCAAAACTTTTTACAATATTGTCATTCATCATATTTGAGATTATATAATTATTTTGATAGTCCAACAAAATTATTTTCCAATTTGTACCTAGTCAAATTTTTAGATAGGTACTTCAACAAAATCGTACTTTCTGTGTGCCTGCATTTTGAGTGGAGTATTTGCGTATGGTTTCGTAGAAAAAAATGGAAGGTAATGATTCAGATATCTTTTCCCGACGTTCCGTAGCGAGGCTTATCTTCGTCAGGTTTAGATTAACTTCGTCGCAATTAACCCGCGCGTTATCAATATGTCCGATATGTAATAATCGTGCAATTACTTATAACGCATAGAATTTAAATCGCGATTCTTCTACTTACGCGCGTTATTTATACGACCTTTTTCGCACTCTCGCAGATAAAATCGCCGCATAAATGATTAACAATTGCGTCGACTCGCATGTTCACAGGTTGTACTGTCGGCGTGTAGCACATACTTTGACACGATCCTATCGCAGTATGAGGAGAAGGACCCCATCGTCATCATGCGTGACGTCAAATTCTCGGACATCAAAGTGCTGGTCGAGTTCATGTACAAGGGAGAGATCAACATCGATCACGTGAGTGTTACAATTTCCTAGAAATGACTTTTTTTTCACATCTTATTTTTATTATCGTTATTGATTCTAATGGGCACAAAAATTTATCCTACGTAGAAAATTCAAGAAGAGATATCGTTTCTTAGATTATCATACTTAACAAAATAGATTATTATACTTAACGAAATATTAAAAATGTGAGAGAGAGAGAGAGTGAAAGATAGAAAAGAGCATGAAAACAAAATTCTAATTAGGAAATAGAATTTTTCGAAAGAAAATGATATTTTTAATTCGAGTGTTCTAAATTAAATTAATAAGTTAGATAAGTGCGAGTGTACATGGAAAGATTTTTACTGGACTAGCTATAAAAAATTTATGTACAGATCTGAAAATAATTTTGTTGAATCATCAAAATAATTATGTAGGAAATTCGAGCATGATGAACAAAAAGTCTTGACATTCTAATAACCAACTTGAGTGTTCTATATAATTATTTTGATAGTCCAACAAATTTATTTTCAGATTTGTGTCTATTAGCTAAATTTTTTAATGCTTCAGTAAGATCGTTCTTTCCGTGATAGATATAAAGTAGGATAAACTAGATTGTAAATAGAAATAAGCGAATGTGACGCGAAAGTCTTGCAACCTTATTGGAAAACAATAAAAATCATATAGAAATATGAACAGTTTGATTTGTAAGCAATTTTATCTTGAAATAAAGTTTGAATTATATATCCTGAAATAATTATATGATCCCAAAATAAATCATGTGAATATACTCGTACAAAAATTACAATGAAATTCCTGAGAGATATTGGCAAAGAAGACTGACGTGAAACGTAACACTCATTGCATATAAAACGCGAATTAAATATTATCGACCGTGATAATCTCTCTCTCTAAGTTATATCTTAGATATATTTTCACTTCGTGCTCATTAATGTTGCTATTTGTGGCGGACGTTTTATTACGTCGCTGTGAAATAAAGTTAAGCAGTAAAACCCCGCCATTCTTCAGACAATAAATCCCCGCCTTCCTCAGTTTTCCAATAACAACAATTTCGCGTAGATAACAGCCGCCGCGCTCTGTGACAGCCATGGTTAACGAGAACTTTACGGTGCCTATTATCTTGCAAAAAACTAACGTTTCTCATTCGCACCGACGACAATCGTACATAAGTTCGAATACGCTGCGAAATGTGTTATGACAAGACCATCGTATGTAACATGTCAGAAATATCGATCTCGGTCAGGGTAAATTTCTAGTCTGAAAACAAAAAATAAAGGGACGTGGTGATATTCAGGCAGAAAATCAATAAGAACATATACAGTTATGTCTGACACTTTGATGAATTTAAAATCGACTTTCTCTATGAAAAATTTTGAAACTGATCTACATACATTTAATGTAAAATTTTACTTTTAATGAATTTTAGATAGACCCTTTTCTATTTTCATAGAAATTTTTTCGCTTTTATATTTAATAGTAAAGATAAAACAATTATTAGAAATTATTAGAAACGTTATCTTTGCTGAGAAAAATCAATTGTTGACGAATATGATGATATCATTAAAATATAATAATGATACATTATTTCCGTTATGTATTATTTATATATACTTATAGAATGACAAGAGTCAGTAACTACACACTTTGTATCATACGTTTCGCTAATTGTTTTCTCGTAATCCTTGAGACTTTTTAATTGTGGATTAAAAGGAGCCTGTGCTTGGAGAATATAATAATAAACCGCTGGATAATCCGCAAAAGTCCATTTGGGTATATTTATACAATTGCACTGTTCCTTGCACCTGGTTTTATTAATGAGAATGAAGCAAACCATTCCAACATCTTGTTTGCGATATTATGTTTTCAATTTTTCGAGATTGCCCGAAATACATTTAAGAAAATTATGCTCCCCCGAGATTTTTTCAAGATATTTCAAACATTTCGCTTGTCTGTTTTGCATTAGACTACAATAATTCGATAATATCCTCAATATTTCCTTGAAATTTCCACGATATATTTAAGATTCATGTATTCTCTTGAGATAGATGTCTTCATGATATCCATTATATATCCAGTTTTATAATATTTTGTAAACTATTCTTATAAACTTGAACTTTTCCTTAATACATTTTTTCTTCGATTTTCTTAAACGTATCTTAACTATTCGATTATAAATGTCTCATTTACAGATAATAGATTATATTTTTATTTAGTTGAAAAATCTCTCGCTTATTCGATATCCGACAAACTGAGACTTTACAGTTTCTTCCGCGATCTTTCTTCGTGCGAATCTTCATTGGAAGAAGATATATCTATCTTCTTCCGAGGAGAGCGAATTCTTCCTGATTTCTAGTCGTGATGAGGCAGTCGTAGCCGCGCAAGGAGCTTTCTCCGGCACGTTTTGTGTCGCGCAGACCCGATCGGACTCGCGAAAAATCGCTGAGTGAAAATCGTCAGGGCCCGATCCCGGATTGGAGATCGGCGCGTGATTTAAGCTCTCCTCGCGAACCGAACGGAATGTTAGCTAAACGGCATGGAGGAGGGAGATCTGCAAACGGTTGTAGATCGGGCTTTGCGTCACGCGGGGCACGTCGTCCTTTTTTCCCACGATCCCTTTTCTTACGCGCGACCCCCTCCTTTCTCCGCCTTGCTACTGCACAAGCAAGAAACGAAAGCGGCGATATTTCTGAAATACATTATTCCGCCGCGGCATCGACGCTGACCCACATAGACATTTTTCCAATTCCAGCCGATAGAAAGCCGCATGCGGCCGTAGAAAGTTGCTATATTATTTAGCATTCGGCCGCGCCGCGAACAGCGAACGTACACAATCACCGCTGCGCTGGTGAAAATTAGTAAATAATAATTGGGGCCCGTTGTCGCGAATCTTCTCTCTCTCTCTCTCTCTCTCTCTCTCTCTCTCTCTCTTTTTTCCTTCTCTCCCCCCTTCGTTCTTTACACGCGTTCGTGATCTTTATTTTTTTTCCGTCCAGTACATCGCGCGAGTTTCTCCACTCCCATACACGAGAATACAACGTAGGGGTATTTTTTTCCAGGGGAGAAATCCGAAGGATATTTGCGAGGGAAAATAATGCTGATGAAAATAAATAAGCGGTCCGTGTCAGCGACCCGAAAGTAATGGGCTTGTCTTTCATTTTTATATTTTCCCCTTTCGCAGTATTTCAAGCTTTAAAAAACATCCTGTCTAAATGCATTAAGTTTTTATAATTACGAGATAATTAATAATTTTTAACTTTGTGATTGACTCAGACATAGAAAAATATGTCCCGTAATAAATAAATTGAGAGAGTTGTCAATTTATTTCTACGTGATGTCTTTTGTGATCAAATATTTCGTTAGAACCTCACATGCGATATACATATACACATATGTATATTTACGAATTTAATATATAACTACAGAGAAAGTTAGCTTTTATAGAATACGCTCACTAACTATAGAAAATTTTAATATTCAAGCATTTAGTTTAAATGTCATAATGATGTCTCGTTTATAAATAACTCAGTAAATATTTCTCTACTCTGCTTATTTATAAATAAGCAATCGAGTTTTTAATTTTCCTCGAAGAAGCATACAACGAATTTAACAAATTTATCTACACATTTACATTTTTTCTGTAAGTCATATTTATCTACACATCTATATTTTTTCTGAATTCTGACTTTCTGAATTCTGACCTTTAATCTCACTCGCATTCCTATTCGTCGATATGTTATAAAATAATATTTTAATAATGTTTATTAAATGTAATATATATCAATGTCTTACTAAGAATTATAACATGTAATATTAATACTATATAAATAAAATATAGAAATTATGAACTTTTGAAATTATGAAATTTTGAAATTACGAACAAATTACTGAAATTACTGGAACATAAAAACGAGATGTTATAGAAACGAATAATTATATTCGTCCGTTTCGTTTTATAGACGAGGTTGTCGTCGTTGCTGAAAACCGCCGAAGATTTACACATCAAGGGGCTCGCCGAGGTGAGCTGGCGCAGCGATTCCACGCAAAACGACCTGAACAACACCGGCCACAGTCCTGGCACCGGAACTCCCGGCGTCGAAACGGTCCTGCGGGAAGGTGAAACTGACGAGCCACCACCCCCCAAACAGAGACGCAGAGGTCGTCCGCCTCTGGACGATCCACCATCGGCACACGACGTCTTCACACCCAAAATCACTTGCATCACCGGGAACGTATGTATATCTCTTATCATTATCACAGACTAAACTGGTCTGTGTAAAGCTTGGTGTGCCAACGAAAGAAAAGATTAACTGAATATAGCATAACATTTTTAATTGGCTGCAGCAGCCAATTTTTGGTTGCGTTAGCCTATTGAAACCGTATATTGACACTGCGGATGGCTAACGCAATCAAAAATTGGCTGCTGTAACCAAAAATTGGATGCAGCAGCTAACTAAAAATGCTATGCCATATTTTACCATCTAAATTGCTGCAAGAGCCAATCTTTTCTTTCAGTGCGGTTAAATTGTTGCAGCAGCATTTCGCAAATCCGTTCGCAAAAAGTCAAAGTGAGTGATATTGCTTTATAAAAAAATTTCATGGTATAATTGTATTCGAATTGTATTATAAATACTAATCATAATATATTTATATATTAGAATATAATCATAAAAAAAAATATATTTTTTGTGACGAGGACCAAATATTTCAAATATCTTCAAATTTTAATGGATCTTAATTTAAAACTTTCGTTCTGTTGTTTCGAACAAAGTTCATGCTATTGTTATAAAATATTGATCCACAATCAAAATATTAAAAAAGTGTTTAAATGTTAAAAATATAAAAAATATATATTTCTTTTTACACTATCGTCTTAATTATTTAGAGTTACACCTTCTAATCTTCTAATTTTAAGTGAAAAAAATTGAAAGCTCCTTACAATTGTATTATGATTAAAAGTTTTCAAATTTCACAATATTTATATTTCTGGATATAAAGATGTGACATTGAATGCAGAATGAATAATTAAGAAAGATTATGAAAATGTGAGGGAGAAAATGGTGGATCTGCACTGCAACGAATACCGAGCCTTACACGGAATATTTAAGACAATTTACGATCCATTATCGTAAATGTAAAAATACAATAATTTTGTCAGACTCACAGCGACGGGTACCGCACATACTTGAGGGTACCCACGCACGACTCTAATGTGTCACGTCGAACTTTTTCTCAGGAGGAAATGATGAGCGAGGGCGGTGACCATGAGAGTTGGGATGACGAGATGATGATGAACGAGAATAACGAAACGCCACTGCCGGTGGTAAGGCCAATTATCGTTAGATACGATTCTTTCTGTTTTTCTTTATTTGCTGATGTGAATGCGCGCACATAATTAAATTGAGTTTATTAAAAGAGGTATCGCTCTACTTTCTCTTGCATCAACCGTCAGGTTAGACTATTCCATGCGCGAATATTCTATTCAACGATTTTGACTTTTGTGTGATTTTTCTAGCTATCCTACATGCCCAAGGACGACGCATCTGAAGAAAAGAAAGGTATACATGATCGTTCTGCAATTACACCTTGATGTGTAGTCTTTCTCCACTCTCAGAAAGTTTTGCTTAGTGTATGTCTAATGCTTGTTTCTAAATTTATATATTTTATGTTTCTATTATATACTCTAGATTTGTAATTATTTTTATATTCTATTAACATTATATTGTCGTTATAATTTTCATATAAGAAATAAAAACAATGCATATTTTATTATTTTACTTGTCCTACAAGAAGGAAAAATAAAATATTGGTATATATAAAAACCAAACTGAAGAAAATATTCTCTCGAAAAGAAAAATAAACATTTATTTTGTATTATTGACATCTTTTATATTGCCAGTTCAGAATTCTCATTTTATTTATATTTTGCATGTAAAACAATAAAAAATGCATAATATAATATATATTGAAGAACATCATTTTTCTTAAAATATACAGCTTGAACGCGTAACAAATGTTACTAATCTTGTTTTAAATGTCTTTTGTCATAATATAATCGGCGTAAAAAAGATTGGAACACTATTTTTTTCAATAATTCTGAATTCGTTTGAATCTTGCTAATAGCTTTCGAAGAAAATTGATATTTATATCTTCCCCCCGAAAAGTTTTTTCCTCTTGAAGCTTCTATTCTTTTTTGACGCCGATTGTAAGTACGTCAGTATCCATTTTCAAAGTATTTGGAAAGTAATGCATTATTTGTAACACCGTTACAACATTACATTATCATTACTGTTTTTATTACTCTTTTCTGTTTACAACAATAAAGTCGTTACATTTTTATAACAACGATAACAAATTCAACCATTTCTTTAATTCTCTATTATATCTTAATATTTATTCAATCAATCGCATTATTTTTGATTGGATAGAAATTTATTTATTTAAGTAAATATATAAATATTGAAATATTTTATACTTTATTAAATTTTTATACTTTATATCTTAGGCTGCATTTCGATAATCGTTGCTAATCCTGACGAAAATCTATAATAGTATATGCATATGTAACGTAAGCTATAAATTTTTACACACAGTAGTGGCAGCGAATATTATATATGGAATGTCCTTTAAATATTATATATTAACATTTAAAAATAATGTTCAATAAAATTTGCATTTTAATAAAATGTTTTAATTACAATCTAAATTCCTAAAGATAATTCCTAAGATACAAAAAAAATAAAAAAAATAAAAATATCAATATAAAGAATCGTAGAAGATTTATTAGATAAGTTTAATAATATGTATAAAAAAAAATCTTATCACACAGAGACCAGTTTAGAGTTTTAAGATTTAATATGGATTATTTAATAACGTTGAAAATCTAATATCTTGCTCTAGCATTACAAAAAAATAATAAATTGTTATTTTTTAGTAACGGCGTTACTTTTTAAAATGAGTAACAAATAACTTTTTACAAAAAATAACACATTATTTTTATAAAATAATATTCCCGATTTGTCCATTCTAATAATTATTGTAAATATTGACTATTTATTGATTGCAGCTGCTAGCACTCCGTCAAATTCTAACGCCACAAATCTGTCGATTCCTGAACAATTCCGGGACGTAATAAAGATGAATGATTACCTGACGACGGGACGCCGACAAGAGTTCTGGGAGGAACCCTTCACGCGCCGCGTTATGGATGCTATCAAGAGCAAAGAGCTAGAAATGAAGACTGCCGCCGAAATCCTCGGCGTTTCTTACGGCACTCTCTACGGCAGATATCGCGACAGTTATGGTTGCCTTAAACATCCATACAGGTAATGGACGCATGCACACAAAAATTTCAAAATTACATTAAGGATGCTGATTCGAACTTTGCATTTAAAGAAAACAGCGTAATTATTTTAATCCAAATTAAAATAAAGTGCGAGTACTAAGTAAAAGAAAACGATAGAATTTCACTAAAATAATCGGGATAATAATATAGAGATGACATATATTTTCAGAGTAAGAGATTTTTGGTCTGAACCGGGCCCGGCAGAAGTGTTGGCGAAATTGCGGCGGAAGGAGATAACATTGTTCCGGGCCGCCGAGTTCCTCAATGTCACCGTCCACACACTTGCAACTTATCTTTCAACGCTGCAGGGTCCGGATAGAATCTCGTTGGCCGGTGATCTCAGCGTGGCGTCCAGCGGTAGCATCGATAGCGGCAGCAACAACAACGCAACAGAATCGACGACGACGGAAAACAACGAGTCCGTGAACGACATCTTGCAGAAGATCAATGCGAACGTAGCGACCACGACGTCGATTAAGCGTGAGGGCGGTGGCTACATCGAGGTGCCAACGGCAGTGTCGAAGTGTTCCACTACATCAGTGCTGGAGAACAATCCGGACATCACGATCGTCAAGACGGAGAACATGCTGCGTAAACGTGAATATACGAAAATGTCCAGCACAGAGAACAATAATGCGAAACTGATGAGCGGCGGTGCTGTTAGCGAGGTCAGCCAGCAGCAACAGCAGCAACAACAACAGCAGCAGCAGCAGCAGCAGCAGCAGCAGCAGCAACAGCAGCAGCAGCAACAGCAGCAGAAACTCGCCGACCCGTTGTCATTAAATAATGACAACAGTAAACCCTAACTATTCAGACCCTACTTGACACCTACGGCGAATCACCACCATCCGCGCAGCGTAGCGCCAAGCGGAGCCAGCTATAGATCCGACCTGCAGTGCCCGCGCAGTTTTTATTCCAACGTGTTTACTCGCTTTCTCACGAATTTTCATTTAAAATAGACAAAGAAAGTAGAAGAGGAGCGGCGCTGAACATCGCTGTTCTGCGCACTCCCGATTCTGCAAGAGTAGCCTCAGACAATCTCGCGTGCGATCGTTCGCGATTGACAGCGAGCCGTGGCTGCGTCGGGACAAAGCGAGAACTTTGACGATTCCTTACGATGCCTTCGAATGGATTCCCGCATGGCCACGGCCTACTGTCGTATTTTTCACGATTAAGAAGAATATTAATGTCGCGAATTTTTCCCTAGCGGAGTTAGTACCCTAGGCGTTGACACAAAATTCCTCTCATTTTAACTTCGAATTCGGCTCGTTTTTAATCCACATGGGTCAGTAGTAGACATATTGCATACGACCTTGGCCTTTGTGAGAAAAAATAAAAAAAGCAAAAGAAGTAACAAAAGGGATAAAACGTAATAAAAAGTTCAATCGAAGTTCCTTTTGAATAACGATGTAGAGTGTATTATCGCAACAAAGAATGCCTATTTTCTGCCGCATGTGTCTGTATGGTAAAGAGCGACAATATATTCACCACAAGTAGATCCATCATAGTAATATACACCACACAGAGAGAAAAAAGCAAGGGAGGGAAAGGGGGAAGCAGAAAGAGAGAGAGGGAGAGAAGAAAAAAATAAAACTAAATAACGTCCCTCGACGTAGATATGTTCCTCACGCGATCGTCGTTAGGATCGCGTTAGGATCACGTTTCAGTTAATGCCCGTATATAAATTCGAGAATTTAAATCATAAAGCTTGTACTATTGGAAAAGGCGTCCATATTCGATATGCGATTTGCAATACACAACACATAAAGAAATACATATGAAGCGAAAAATTTGAAAAATAAGGCGATTGTAGATAGTATTCTCAGCTATTTGTATTTAGAAAAGTATTTAAAGAGATAGGTAGAAAGAATGAGAGAAAGAGAATGAGAGCAAGAGTGAGAGCGAAACGAGAGCGAGAAAAAATCATTTCAGGCTGCGTATCCAATAGTAAATCGTTTATGATTTAAATGTATTTTCATGATGCAAGCCTTAACATTAGAAACTGTTTTGTTTATGTTATCGATTCGCTGACAAAATTTACGCGCGTACAGTTTTACATGTGTTACCTATATTTTTGGAAGACATTGTTTAGAACGGTTAAGTTTTAGGAACGTAAATTTCATGCAATTAAAGTAAAGGCATTGCGATCGGTTAGCGATTTTTATGCGTCGTACGAAAATCGCGGCAATTGCCTTTTCTCGAGTATTCGCAATGTTACTGAAATAGTCCATTGCGCACATAATGTAACATGATAATGGTGTATATCATTCTATTTTGTTTTTCTTTTATACCGGTACGTAAAGCTGTGCATAGGAGTGATTTTTATAAACAATCTTTATTACTTGTATATATACACACAGATATTTTTTTTATTTCTTCTTTTACGAAAGAAAATATTTTTAACGACTTTTATTGGAGAATAATAATCGTCGATCAATATCAAAAATGATTTGTTTGACACAAATATAGTGCAATATTCGAAGATACGAAATAGTATTATTTGGCGATAAAATGTCGATTAAAAGGAGTTAAAAAAGAAATAGAAATATGCCGGTGCAATTATGCTCGGATTTATCAAGGCAATATCGATATGATATATGCACGGTGGCTACGGTAATGCATTGTTAACGCATTGTATCGTTGTTCTCCCTATTTATACATGATTCGCGATTCTGTTTAATTTTTTTGTAAGCTTTCACAGGCGCGATGTTTACATTAA